CACTGAAGTCTTCATTAAAGCCCATGGAGCTGCTCCCTGGAGCTGGTGACCTTTTTGTATCTAAAGAAGACTTTACACTGGACGTAAATTCTTTTCCCTTTGTGGGAGAACAATGTTCTTTTCTTCTGAAAATGGATGATGATCAGTTCATTCAGAGGCTACAGGATTAAAAAAAAAAGAAGAAGAAGAAGGAAACTAAGATTTAAAGTGACTTCTGGTGATTCCCTCACTTGTGAAACAGGGAGATGAACCACACAGTTAATAAAGAGCCTCAGGATTTGGCAATCAAATTGTGGCACTTAACCAGAGGAGAGTAGTAGTAGCTACTTTTGAGGTTATGTTTTAGTAGAGGGAAGTTTTCTGATTTGTGATCTTCTCAAAATTGGGATAAAGTGTTTTTGCTTTATCTTGCTAACTTGTAACCACTTGTACAGTTTTTTGTCTTGCTCCCAGGTCGATTTAGTGTCTGGAGGTTAGTGGGTAGGATTTCTTTCTGAGATAATGAAAGGCTTGTCTTCCAGGAGTGTCCACAAAAGGTCTAGTAAGACTGTAGTTTTCAGTCTTGCAGTTGTGTTGAGGGATTATCAATTTACTACACTAAATGCTTTGATTCAAGTGACCATTTTTGGGTCACACACCTAATATGAACTTGTGTTATGTTAGTAACAAAAGAAAGAATTACTACTGAATATGGTACAAAGAATTTTTTAAAAGTATAAACTTAAAACCACGATGAAAAATAGGTTTGACACTAAGGCTCCATTTAAAATATTGCATTGAACAAAAGCATTTGTTTCCCTAACTATACCACGCCAGGTAAGTGGAGGTTAAAATAGAACTCTTATTAAATGAGGTTTAAATGTGTGCCTTCAGAAGAAAATATACTTCAGCTAATAAATTTCCTATCTATTTACATGAAGGTTGTATTATTCTACCATAAATCTCTACACTGAAATGTTCTGCATGCAAACATTTTTACAACACTTATTTATAAGATTAGTTTATTAACTTCATTGTGTGGAGATGGATACTTTAAATAATAATATCTATCAGAAATGATAATTAATTTGACCCTTATCTGTGCTTGCAGTATGTGTCTACTGTGAGCACTTTTATTACCTTTTGAAGATAATATAATGGCTTCCTGTTTCGCAAGTGAGTGAAAGTAGTGAGTAGAAACCAAAATGAACACCATGTGTAAAGCACACTGGCCTATTCAAACAGATATTGTTAACAAATTGCCTGCTGGTTTTAAAGAATACAGCTTCAGTCAGCTAATATTTTATTAAATCATTCTCCTTATTCAACAAGTTTTGATTGAAATTTTACTCATTATGAAATACAGATTTGGCAGGGGTCATAACAAAGGAAAATATTCTTCTTTAACTATTTCCCTCTATCTAATACTGCTAAATAAACATGAGTAATTGCCTAATATTTCCTTTAAGATTGACCCTTGGGGGCCCTTATTACAAGGGAAAATGCTTATAATTTAAATTTGTCTTCTGATCATCAGCAGTGATTTGCAGTGATTGATGATAATTACCAAAACTTCCTAAAGGCAGAATATTTGAGGTCACTGTTTGAATCACAGCACAAAGGAACTGCAGGCAGTTTTCAGGGGCTCAGAAATAAGCAACCCAGGTTCTGCAAAGAATACTATTTGAGTTCCTCAGTCTTTGGGGGTACTTACCCATTTCAGGGAGTTTTCAAAAGAGTAGAAGGTAAGAGAGAGGTAACAGACAGGGGGCCTGATTTATGAAATAGGTGATTGGGCTAAAAAGTTATTTCTGTGCCTGTGTTTTGAACCATCAAAATCATTATTTTCCTATGTTCTAATACTGTGAAGCTTTTCATCACTTAACAAAGGAAGAAAAATCTCTCTTTAAAAAGTGAAATAATTTTTCATAATCAGTTAACACCTCTCTAGTATGTATTTAAGGAACTCTGGTTGTGCAGTGCCTAAGGCATTTGACTGGTAACCAGAAGGTTGGTGGTTCAAACCCACCAACCACTCTGTAGAAGAAAGATGGAACAATCTACTGCCATAAAGAGTTACCACCTTTGAAGCCCAATAGGGGTCACTATGAGTCAAAATTGACTCGATGGCAGTGAGTTTGGTTTTTTGAGCACATACTTTGAAAACCCAAGTGGATACTTTCTCAAACCCTAGACCTGTTATCAGATATAATTTTGCTCTAAGATAGAAATCTGAAAGGGAAGAGAAGTTCAGTTAATGTAAGCTGTGATGAATGAGGAAATGGTCTACCATTAATAATAGCACCACCTCTCAATTCTCCAAACTAAAAGCTTATTCCTTTACCTGCCCTCTTTCAACCCCTTTACTTCTTCAAACATGAGTCCTAACAGAGTCTCTCAGTTTGGCCTATGAATGGAGTACTGCCATAGGTTAGAGCCCTTGTATGGAAGTGGGAGGAGCTTCATATGAGTGAAGAATGATGGGTGCCAGTGGTTCCTTCTGTAGCCACATTGTTTCTGTAAACCTGGTGTACCAACTAAAAAAAAAAGACCAAACTCACTGCCATTGAGTCTGTTCGACTCATAGAGATCCCTCCTTGGGTTTCCAAGGCAGTATTTCTACAGAAGTAGATTCCCCAATCTTCCTTCTGACGAGTGGCTGATGGGTGTGGACTGCCAGCCTTCTGGTTAGCAGTCAAATGGAGGAGAAATTACCTAGCTTGTTGGACTTAAAGTTGATAATTAATTACAAAGAGTAAGATCAGTGTTTAAAAGAAAAATCTAAACTAACTAGAATTATGGTTATTCCTTTGAGAAGAAATTTTCAACCATTGTTTAGTCTGTTTAGTCTCTGATCTTAAGTTCAGTAGTTTAGTCTTTAACCTTAAATTTGACTCTCAGGATTTTTCAGTTCAATTCAGTAATCATTCTAAAACATCCTTTGACCAGGAATTTTTCAGTGCTTCCAAGGCACTTTATACAACCTTGTGCAAATGAAGTGCCTATTTTAGTGTCTTTAATTTTAGGATTTTGTGTTCCAAACCCACTGTCATCAAGTTAATTCCAACTCATAGAGACCCTATAGATCTGCCCCATAGGGTTCCAAGGCTGTAAATCTTTATGGAAGCAGACTGTCTCATGTTTCTCCCGTTGAGTGGCTGGTTCAAACTGTTGACCTTTTGGTTAGCAGCTAAATGCTTTTTAACCACTGCTCCACCAGAACTCCTTAGAGTTTGATTAGAGATATGTATTTTTTGGTGACAAATCATCTGTTTTCTACATCCATTTCTCCCTCACCAATCTTTTAACTTACTGTCATTCTTCTTCATGGCTAGAGAAAAGAGAACCAAAAACCAAACTAAACTCACTGTCGTGGAGTTGATTGCTGTGGAGTCATAGTAGCCCCTCCTTGGGTTTCCAAGGCTCTATCTCTACAGAAGTAGATTGCCCAGTCTTTCTTCCAAGGAGTGGCTGGCTGGTGGGTTTGAACTGCCAACCTTCTGGTTAGCAGTCAGATACCTTAGGCACTACCCGCCCCCCCAGAGCTCCTAGAGAAAAGACAAGTCTAGTCTTAATCTTTCTTCTCAAGCTTTCCAAGTCCATCCAAATCCAGGCAATATTGAAGGCTAACAATTCCTTTGAATTCTCTGTTACCTGTGGAAGAGTCAGATCTCTTGTTCATGTCTGTACACTCCATTGTGCTATCACCTTTATTGAAAGTAGACACTTGGGCTCTTTTCTCCTGCCTCTATCCTTGTGGCCTGGCTTAGTGGAACCTTCCAGAAGAAGGTATTTACAGGACATACATAAGATTATTTCTTGGGTCCCGGAAAGAGGCATGTATTTCAAGTGTAATTTAATGGTCAGTTCTTGCTGAAGCAGATGAATAGGATGAGCCACTGAAATTAAAATAATCTTTATTGACACTCTTCACAATTGGTTTCAGGTTATGCTGCACTTGTGCTTAATAACAAGGTTCTGTGAGGCACGTACCCCTTGATGCACAGAGAAGATAATGTGGGTGAAAAATCAGAGGCAGTCTCTTCATGAATAGAGGTGCCACCAACTCCATTTGTTCACCTCCTCTTAAGACAAAAGAATGTTGTTGTTGTTATGTGCCATCGAGTTGGCCCAGACTCATAGCAACCCCTCCTTGGGTTTCCAAGGTAGTATCACTACAGAAGTAGATTGCCCAACCTTCCTTCCAAGGAGTGGCTGGTGGGTTTGAACCGCCAGCATCCTGGTTAGCAGTCAAGTGCCTTAGGCACTATGCTACCAGAGCTCCCTTAAGACAAAGAATAAGATGTCCCATTTGCACATGTGGAGAGACTCCCAATCTTGGAAAGCAGTTTTACCAAGAGAGAAAATATCCTAATTTATTCTTCAGTGTTAGAGAGTAGGATTGCTCCACAGGACTTTCTTGGCCATATCTTCATGGAATCAGATCACCAGGCTTTCCTTTTGTGGTGCCACTGGGTGGGTTCAAACCACGAACTCTGGGTTAGTAGTTGAGAGCAAACTCTTTGTGCCACCCAGGGATTCTTTCAGTGCAAACGTGAACATATTCAACAGTTTATCTCTGAGATACAATTTCCAGCTAATCCTGCTATTGGTATTTTCCAGCATTCCACAAAGATTGACAATTAATTTCTATAGTTCCCTTGAAGTAAAGTTCCTCACATAATTATGTGTTCGTTTTTCCTGTTTAAGCAGATGGTACCAGGAAGGCATTTTTAAAAATCAAACCTTCCTTTTTTCTTCTTCCATGTTTTCTTTAGGTGGCATAATTTAACAGCATCTTTTGTTAGTGTTCAATCGTCTGGAAGATATTTTGAAGCAGACTTTGTCCTGTGGAAAATTAATCTAGAAACTGTTTTTTAAACAAGCATTTGCAACCTTTTAACTAATGATTATAGTTAAATTTTGGTTTTTGTATTCTAATTCTATTCTGAAAGATAGCATTGGAGGGGAAAATGGAAAAGAAGCCATGGTAATAACATGAACTATTTTGGGACATTTAGGAGCCTGTTTTATTCACTGGGACAATGAGAAAAAATCTGGATCCATTTAATGAACACACGGATGAAGAACTGTGGAATGCTTTAAAAGAGGTACTTTATAAAATGTAATTAACTTGTTAGTATCAGTATACGTGTACATACATTTACAACATTGTAGGTAATTAAGAGGCATTTATTGGTTTAACTAATTTTTGTTCATCACCCAGCAGAACATTGAATACATGAATGCACTTAAAATGTACATATTGATGGTGACGAAAACTAGCCAAAAAATGCCTCATGTTTTCACTTTTGCTTTCTTCCTTGAATTCAGAGCAACTAGATACATTATCTTGTCATCAATAGATATATATAGCTCACATATATATATTGTTGTTGTTTTGTTGTTATGTGCCATCAAGTCAAACCCGACTCATAGCGACCCCTCCTTGGGTTTCCGAGGCAGTATCACTACGGAAGTAGGATTGCCCAACCTTCCTTCCGAGGAGTGGCTGGTGGGTTTGAACCACCAGCCGTCTGGTTAGCAGGCAAGTGTCTTAGCCACTATGCTATATATATATGTATGTATGTATGCATGCATGTATATGCTAAGAATTATATTTATGGGTTGAGATTCTACCAGTGACTAAGTTACCCCACAGAATTCCTTTTACTGCTCTGTTCTTAGGGAACATCTCTTAAGTGGAAACTGTAATTGTTTTTCATTACTACCCAGAAGATTAGTGAGGTTGTTCTTATAAAACACTTTGAGGTTTTATAAGAAAGTATTTATAAATGTAAATTATATCATTAATATATAGTCACGTTTATTGGCAAACATGGTTTTTAATGCTCCAGAGTGAACGCAGGTAACAGAACCTTAGAATTTTTGCTGAGCTTTGGTACAGATAGATGTTTCTAGAAGATTTTCTTTTACTTGTGTGGTGGTTCCCTTTAGACTGCTTCTTTAAATTTCCTCACCCTCTCATGGAAAGGATTTTGACTGTTAAAGTGCTATTGGTTTGCATATTTTAACACCTAATTATTTTGTATATTTGTCCTGGTTCTGCAAATTAATTCTAAGCCACTTAATGGCAGAAACCATATCTTAGACTCCTAATCCCTGCTAGGACTTAGCTTAGTGTTTTGAGTTTTGTAAGCACTGAATAAATATGTATTGAACATCTGATTGATCTCTTCATTTCGCAGAAGTGCAGCTTATATTCCTTTTTTTTTTTTTTTTTGGAAAAAATTCACAAATCTCAGGAATCAATTCCACACCATAGTTATTGTTGCTTTCAAGACATGCAATTGTCAGTTAGTGCCACCCTTCCAAGGATAGTGCTGAAGTCTTTCATGTATAGATGATCTTCAACTGTGAGTGCACAGAATTGGAGACCAGACAATTTCCTGCAAGTAATTCTTATTTCCTGGAGGTGTGTCAGGGTTTAGTCTTTACACCTCCACCCTGATCTCCAGCAACTGTGGAGATTTTATTTTCCTAAATTGGGTTGACTACTTCACCTTCTTCTGCTTAGAAAATGACTATGAGTCTTTTCTATAGTGAAATTCTAGGGGAAAGGGGTTAGCCATCACGTGTAAAGGAAGATTAGGTGATCCACTGCTCTTGAGCTCACAGGGTAGATTGAATAGGAAAATTGTGACACACCTTAAAAAAACAGGAATGACTGGTAATTATTTTTTCTGTTTGTTTCAGAGCTTGATATTTCTCTTCATGATCTAGAAACACATTGTTCTTTAGTCAGTGAAGAAGTAAGAACATGTTAATTGGGAGACAATCCTATCAATAACTGTTTTAGAACTTGTCTGTAAAATTTAGTAGCTTCACAGAATTCTAAAAATATTGAGGTGGTAGAGTATTAGGTAATAATAAAATCTACTTATATTTAAACAATATTTGGAAGTTTCTTTAAAATGAAAATAAAATATGAGTAATTTACGAGGACAACTACAAAATGTGTGGTTTCTCAGTGTTGCTTACAAAATTAACCTCTTTCCTTTGATGATACCTCCTAGAGTGGGAAATTACTGAGTCATTGTATTCATCTAAGAATTATTTCCTTAGCATATTACAGTCACGTGCCACATATCCATTCAAGCAATGTTTGACCACATGTATGTCTGTGACTCCATAAGATTATAATAGAGTTCAGAAATCCTCATCGGAAGATTGAACCTAGTGAACACAACAGCTTCCCACACCAAAATATTAACAGTGTTTATTTGGGGGTGATAAGTAATGAGTAATTTTCTTTTTTTTTTCTTTTTGACTTCTCTGAATTTTCTAAATTTTCTCTAGTACACTTACTTGCTTTTGTAATCTGGATGCAGAAAAAGGACTGAGCTCTCCTAGCAGATGAAACCTGTGGTCATTTCATAGTAATAATTAGAGTTTCATGATGACAAATTTATGGGGGTTTGAATGATTCTGATAGGTCAGAGATTCTTGATCTGGACCTTAGAATATCAGGGTCTTCTCTGGTAGCGTAGTGCCTAAGGCATTTGACTGCTAACCAGAAGGCTGGCGGTTCAAACCCACCAGCCACTCCTCAGAAGGAAGACAGGGCAATCTACTTCCGTAGAGATACTGCCTCGAAAACCCAAGGAGGGGTTGCTATGAGTTGGAACTGACTCAACGGCAGTAAGTTTAGTTTTTTGGGTTTTTTTTTGGTTCTCATTGTGAAGTCAGAACTCACCTGGTAAATATCTTGGAATTGTGTGCACAATGCTATGTGCCTGTGTTTATCTAGGGAGAAGTCATACAAAGGACTCAGCACCTGACCCCAGTGCCATTCAAGTTCCTTCATATTTCTCTGTTATGTCAGTCCACCTGCCATCTCCATGGTGTTTTTCCTCCCATGGTATCCCTAAACCAGAGCAGTGTAACCCTTCCTGCTCTTATATTAGGCCTGCTGTCCTTGGCAGCTTCTTCAAGGTAGACGAGAACTCTAGCCAGTTGATTTACAAATGATGTTAAATTAGAAATGGAAGTCCAACTCAGAGAGTTGGCTTGAGATTCATTAAAAGAACTGTTTTGCCTTGCCCTCTGTAACAAGTCCAAATAAAAAGAGATCATGTTTATCTTTAAAAGTCCTCCTTTTTCCACCTCTACCATTTCCTCTTAAAGGTAGTACCAGAGATGGGAAAGTCTTCATCTTGGTTATTTTTTAAAATATGCTGAAAATTTACTATACATGCTAAAAAAGAGTTGGCTGTAAGCTGAAGAAACATCACTAGGAATTAGTGCCAGTTTGTATACCTATGAAGCAAAAGTAGCTCTGTAAAGTAACACAGGTGATGACTGAAGGTGAAACAGCATATCAGAAAAACGTCAAAAGATTACAGTAGATAAAATTCTGAAACTGAATCATCAGTGTGTTGATTTTGTTTAAAAAAAAAAAAACTTTAATACTGGAATATATAATTAAGAGTATGGTATGCCATGTCAGATCTGTGAAGAAATCATCCAATTATTTGCAACACTGATAGTATCTCTATTAGAGGACAAAGATGTCTCGTTATACAGGAAACCAAGATACAGAAATGAACATCAGCCATGTATACATCAGAAAATATTTTAGTCACAACATACCATATATGCAGGTCTCTTAGGCCACATATTTGAATAAATGAGTTCCACTTTACTTCATTTATGCTAGCTTTGTTCTAATAAAAGCTCTCCTCCATCTGTTGATTGGAGAGCTCTGGTAGCATAGTGCCTAAGGCAGTTGGCTGCTAACCAGAAGGCTGGTGGTTCAAACCCACCAACCCACTCCTCGGAAGGAAGATGGGGCAATCTACTTCCGTAGTGATACTGCCTCGAAAACCCAAGGAGGGGTCGCTATGTGTCGGGACCCACTCAACGGCACATAATGACAACAACAAACATCTGTTGATTGCTGTTGCTTGCATTTCAGTGTCTCTTCTTTTCCAGCTCATGTCAGCCTTTTTTTCCTAAGAGTAAAGGAGGTCCACTAAGTGTGGCAACGGAATCAAACACTCATGTTAATCTCTTGTGTGGGGTGCTAACACCTAGCCAATACAGTACCTATAGTAGGTTACCTAAAATGTGTATGATGGTACAAGTGGTGTGTCTTACAAGTTCAGGTTATTATTTTCTGTTTTGCTATAGTTTATTATGTTTCCCAAGCTTAAAAATAATCTGAAATACTTTATACTGGAGGTGCATAGTTTTGAATAATTTTATTTGATTAATTTTCCTTAAATCGTAAAGTTTTTAAAAATATTTTCACATTTTAAAGTGTAGTATTGTGAAATCACAGGGCCAAATGATTTTTATAAGGGATGTATTTCTTTGATAATGACATTTAATACAAAAAGTGATACTGGTATATCTAATTTTATTGTGCTTCACTTTATTGCACTTCACAGATAGTGCATTTTTAACAAATAAAGGTTTACGGCAATCCCGTGTCAAGCAAGTCTGTCAGTGCCATTTTTTCCATAGACGTGCTCACTTCATGTCTCTGTGTGACATTTTAGTAATTTCCAAAATACTTCATACATTTTCATAATGCTATTGCACACTTAATAGACTAGAATAGAGTATAAACCTAACTTTTATATGCACTGGGCTACCAAAAATTATGTGACTCACTTTATTGCAATATTCACTTTATTGTGGTGGTCTGGAACTGAACCCACAATATCTCTGAGGTATGCCTATACACCAGCCACTCCTCGGAAGGAAGATGGGACAATCTACTTCCATAGTGATGCTGCCTCGGAAACCCAAGGAGGGGTCACTATGAGTCGGGTCCGACTCAACAGCATATAACAACAACATGCCTATATTTCATGTAAATTATATATTGATTTATTTCCAAATTTATAGGAGCAGACATCTCACAAATTGAGATGCACTTGTGGCTTCATCCATGTGTTCAGATATTTATGAGGTTTTTACATACTTATTATTCTAGGTGCTGCAACTATAGCTGTCTGCACAAGAGACCAAGTCCCTACCATCTTGGCGTTTACAATCTAGTCGCAAGATAGAGATTAAGCAAATAATTATGTAATATAATGTCAGTTATTGATAAATGCAATAAAGAAAAGTAAATTAGATCATGAACAAAGGCTAGCTATAGCATTATTAATAACAGGCAATATCTGTTGATCTCTTAACGTTGTATTAGGCATCATTCTAAGTTGTTTATGCATTTAAAAAAAAGAAAAAAAGTTGCTGTCGAATCAATTCTGACTCATAGCGACCCTTTAGGACAGAGTGGAACTGTCCCAGAGGGTTTCCAAGGTTTGATCTGTATGGAAGCAGATCACCAGGTCTTTTCTCCCACTGAGCCACTGGTAGGTTCGAACCGCCAGCCTTTTATTTGGCAGCTGAGCCCTTAACCACTGCATCACCAGGGCTTCTTTCTTTATGTGTGCTGACTTATTTTATACTCCCAGCATCAGGGGGTAGACACCTTTATCGTTCTATTCTCAATTACAGGTTTGGAAGCTGAGCTAGAGTAAGTTCATGAACTTTCAATTTGGCAGAACTGGGTAGGACTCAACCCCAAGCTGTCTAGCTTCAAGGATCCAACCTTTTATTTGAAATTTTGAAAATTTCAAATCATGGAAAAGTTGGAGGAAAAGTATGATAGCCCAAACTCTGACAACTTATGCTCTGCGTATGCAAATATTACCAAAGTCAATTCAAAAGGAAAACCTGAGAGAAGTCTTGCCACCGTTACATGTTTTATCTCAGTCCCCATCACCTGGGGTTTAGCTCTGCGAATATGTTTCATAGACAGAATTCAGAAGACGTCCTCTTCCTTGTAATGGGGGACTTGACACAGATGGATCTTTCGTTTCATAATTTCTGGTGCAGGAATTTGTCCGGCAATCCTAATCTTACCCTTGGGATTTTGTATAACTTTCATGCTAGTGCTAAATACCAATACCACATTTAATCCTAACTTAGAATTCCCATTTTTTAGTGCTGGACTTCTCTGACGAGCCCAACTCAAGATCTCACATTCACTGAAATGCTTCATCATCTATGGCAGGCAACATTATGAAAATGTTTAGCCTTGATTTCTTCTTGTTGACATTATAATTCAGTAGGCCTGTTTTTTGGCCATTATTCATCAACCTGTTGATTTTTTTATTTGAAGTTTATAGACTCTTTGTTCTTCTGTATCTCTCAAACATAGCCTGACTTTGGCTCTTGCTCTATAAAATTTCTCCAAAACAAATACTCATCGCACTGAACCACCACCCAATTGAGTCTCAGTCATCTTTGGCAGTTAAGAAGTTTCTCTTTTTTGCTTACAACTACAATTTTATGAAGGTAGATTAATACAAACATTATTTATCCCCATAGCCTGGGGGCAATAAGGTGTTATGCTGTGCCCTATTTTTCCTAATTTTTCATTCACTGCAAAGCAGCTCCTTATGAGAATGAAGTAAATGCACTTGACTGGCCTAAGTAGTATGGGATTGAACTTTGGAAAGAACCATTCCCAAAATAGGCTCCTGTTTTGTTTTTTTTAATATATGAGGTACAGTTTGCCATTGTTTGAATTTGTATTTATTTAACTTTTCCAATTGAGTGAAACCTAAAGGAAAAGTGCCAACAAAATTGTATCTTTAGAGAACAAAACTTCCTTAACTAATTTCATTTTTAAGTTTTCCCTTTAGTGTACTAGTTCCTATGAGGAATGTACTTTGGGAAGCTTGAGTCACCCATAAAGATCCTTTTAACTTTTCTACAGAGATTGGGAGAAATACTCTCACAATTGAAAGACTTTTTTTTTTTTTTAACTCTCCAAGAGGAGGGCAGGGGTCTTAGTGAGTGTCATCTGGGAAGAAGGGGTATAGGTGATGGGGAACACTGAGTTTTTTGAAAAAAACAAGTTTATTGAGGTGTAATTTACATACTAGAAAATTTATCCACTGTGAGTGTGAAGTTCAGCATTTTTAGTAAATTTATAGAATTACACAGTCATCACCAAGCCCAGTTTTAGAGCATTTCCATCCTCCCAAAAAGTTCCCTCCTGTCCATTTACAGTGACCCTCTAGCTGTAGGCAGCCACTGTTCTCCTTTTTATCTCTACAAGTTCCTGTAGTTACCTCTTAACAAATAATTAAAAAGGAACATTTTTAACTTTTGTACATTTTACCTAGAGGCTAATTTATCATAACTGTATGTTTCCTTATGAAACAGGTAGTGCTGACATGTGATCTCATATGAATAGACTTGGGCTTTCAAATGGTGACAAGGAAACATCTTGGTTGCCATTAAGTTTGTTCTCTTAAGTCAGAATATTTCTGTCCTCAGTTGATCCTACCACCTTTCTCAGTTAACATAAATTGGGAGTAACGCTCAGAGTCTTGTAGCTGTATATGTAAGACACACTCTCAAGGGAGAGAACCTCAAAGCTCTAATGTCTAAGAGGCATGTCTCTACTTGAATAGTAGTTCATTCAGGAAATATCATTCTTCCTTCTACATCTACAGGTACAGCTTAAAGAAGCCATAGAAGATCTTCCTGGTAAAATGGATACTGAATTAGCAGAATCAGGATCAAATTTTAGCGTTGGACAGAGACAGTTGGTGTGCCTTGCCCGGGCTATCCTTAGGAAAAACCGGATATTGATTATTGATGAAGCTACAGCAAATGTGGATCCAAGGTACAGAGCTGGGGTCTTTGTGAAGGGAAACATTTAATGATGCTTAGAAATGTTACTGAGTGCTCTGTTTGCCTCCAAAGATACCTCTTGATAAAATTAATTCTAAAAAACAGAGGAAGAAACCAAAACATGTCGTTCAGCATTAATGATATTATTATGCATCCCTAAGAGAGCTGGATTCCTGCATTTGACTCCTGATGATTTCAAATTTCAGACAATTTACAAGAAAAATAATTTCCATTGTTTTATGAAAAAACAGATGAAATTTCTAAATAGGCTTTTTCCCTTAGTTTTTGTAAAAAACATATCTTTTTTAAAACCATTATTAAAATACCATATATATTTTAAAATCTTAAGTCTGCTTTTTGAATCTTCACTATACTGACCTAAATTCTACTGATGTGATTCCAGAACTGATGAGTTAATACAAAAAAAAATCCGTGAGAAGTTTGCCCACTGCACTGTGCTCACCATTGCACACAGGCTGAACACCATTATCGACAGCGACAAGATAATGGTAAGTCTTTGCCTGGGGAATTCTACTTGTGTCAGTGTGTTCTTCTTTAGTTTTTCATTTTTATTTTTGATCTCTTCCATTTTGTCTTCTCTCTATCTTAAGCTTGCACTAAAGATGAACTTCAGACAAATGTCAACAGAGAACTGTTGAAAGTCCTTGACTGGTGTTATACCTGTTGTCTGTTCATTTGAACTGAGCCCCCTTGATTTGAAAATAGCAGTTACCTCCTGTCACTGAGAAATAATAGACTTGAATTTCCTAAATATAACCAAGAAATTTACATATTTGGTGGCAAACTTTACTTTCATTCAGTATTTTAACATAATGACAAGTGCTGCTTAAGCTAACAAATGATTTATCTTTACTTGTAGAACTCAATACAAATCCCCAATAAATGAAATGTCCTTTTTCTCTTGAAAAAAGGTTTTTCCTTTCATTCCTGACAGTAACCTAAGTCCTTAACTATGCATTCAACACTTAAATAATGTATCTATTACATCACTTTGCTTTAAAAATGCAATTAAAAGTTTATTTGAATTGTCATTTTTTTTAAAGCTGGCCAACCATGAAAATATTCCAAGTCTAAGATATAGCTTATGATAAGCTTCCTACTTCAGTCATTTTAGCTATGTCACAATTATTTCAACGTTTTAGATTTCCTAATCAAAAAATTAGCCTCTCACTTAAGCTGTCAGAGGATTGTGAAGTAAGATTGCAGAACTTCTCAGTTGTTGGGACATTCTTAAGACCTGCTGTCAGAGGGTAGTGAATGAGAAGATCCATGGCAAATCATTTTCAGAAAGGGCTTAGTCAGAAAAAACAGACTATTTCAACTGAGAAGATTTAATATAGGGAATTTGTTTCATAGACTTGGAGGGCTGAAAGAACAAAAGGAAGCACTGGAGTAGTAATGCTCAGAAGCAGCTACCACCCCCTAGGATTGAGCTCTAGAACCTATGAACTCAGAGAAGAGGCACTAAAGAGTTGATGCTCAGACCCCCAAGGAGGGACACTGGGCAGCTGCTGATTGTATTGGTGAGGAACTGTGATGTGGCTGGTTCTTAATATGCTAGAAAAAGATAGAGGCCAGAGCCAAGTGCCACTGTTGGGTGATGCCCACAGGAGTAGCAGAGAATGGGAAAGGAAGACATTCACTTCTCATCTTGTCCTTCAGTCATGTTCTACTACTCCTTATTGGCAGAACCTAACATAGCCAGCTGGCCAAACATGGTTTATAGAGACCTAGCCCAGCATCCCAAATCAGAGGGCAATTTATGTGTTAGAAGTATTTTATCATCAGAAAGATGGCTTTTTACCGTTAGCTCACTTGAGACCCATTCAAAATAAAATCTTTGCTCCTAAATGTGAATATAGATTTATTTTTGTTTTCTTGGTGTTATAACATTTATGACAGCAACTTCCTTTTATTATCTAATGCTTAGAGGTATTGTCACAATGGAATAGTGGAGGGTAACAACAAGGAAAAAGAATTTGGCAGGTTTGTCACCTGGCCATTCCAAAATCTTGTCAAAATCAGCATCTGATCCTCAGACATGAACATCTGGTTTACTAGTATCACCTTGGGAACTCTGGTAGCATAGGGCCTAAGACACTTGACTGCTAACCAGGAGGCTGGCGGTTCAAACCCACCAGCTACTCCTTGGAAGGAAGGTTGGGCAATATACTTCTGCAGTGATGTTGTTGTTGTTGTGTTGTTATGTGCCGTCAAGTCAGACCTGACTCATAGCAACCCCTCCTTGGGTTTCCGAGGCAGTATCACTACGGAAGTAGATTGCCTCATCTTCCTTCCAAGGAGTGATACCGCCTTGAAAACCCAAGGAGGGGTCACTATGAGTCGAGTCTGACTCGATGGCACATAACAACAGTATCACCTTAACAATGAGCTTTATTGCCATTATCAAAATATGTCAGTTTGCTTAATGCTTTATTTATCAAGTATTGCTTGGTAAAACCCACTGCCAATGAGTCAATTCTAACTCATAGAGACCCCCACTGGGTTTCCAGGGCTATAAATCTTTACAGAAGTAGAGTGCATCATCTTCCAGTTACAGAACAGCTGGTGTGGTTGAACTGCCAACCTTCTGGTTAGCAAGTAAATGCCTTACCCACTATACCACCAGAGCTCCTTGTTGTTGTTGTTGTTGTTGTTATGTGCCGTCGAGTCGGCCCCGACTCATAGCGACCCCTCCTTGGGTTTCCGAGGCAGTATCACTACGGAAGTAGGATTGCCCAACCTTCCTTCCGAGGAGTGACTGGTGGGTTTGAACCGCCAGCCGTCTGGTTAGCAGGCAAGTGTCTTAGCCACTATGCTACCAGAGCTCCCTAGTATTGCTTAGTAAGTTTCCAGAATTACAAATTCATCTTTCTTGACCATTGTCTTTGTCCAAATCCTCAACATTGCTTACAAAGCAGTTTACAGTCCTTTCTAGTCTTATCCTACTGTGCTCTCCCTCTTTTTCAAAAAAAAAAAAAAAAAAAAGTAGTTGCCATTGAATTGATTCTGACTCATGGAGATGCTGTGTGTGTCAGAGTAGAACTGTACTCTAGGGTTTTCAGTGGCTGTGATCTTTCAGATGTAGATTGCCAGGCCTTTCTTCCTTTACATGGATTTGAACCTCCAACCTTTCAGTTAGTAACTGAGTGCTTAACTGTTTGCTCCACCCACTCATTCCCTTTTCTTTATAGTTAAAGGCAAATGCAGTATTCATTCTCACTTTCATAATCAAGTGCTCTCTATCTCAGTTGCATGTAGGTGGCTTGGACTAAGGTGCTAGCAGTGGAGATGATGAGATGGTTGTATGTGGGGTAAATAAGTAGAGCCAAGTAGACTCTGATCGGATGTGGGATGTGAAGGATAGAGTCAAAGTCGACTTCTAGGTTTTGACCTGAGCATTTAGATAAGTGGGGAAGATTGGGGGAGAAGTAGATTTGGAGAAGGGAAATGCAAGAGTTTCTTTTGAGTAGGTTACCTTTGAGATGACCGTTATGCCATGATTCTCTGGTGGAACTCGTATTCTGTCATGGAGCTGCCCATCCTGCTCCTGACTCAGGTGTTGGGAACTCTTCAGTGTAGAGCTTACAGGCACAAGGTCATCAGTGATATCCCTGGGAGATCCCAGCAAACCAAAAAACCAAAGCTGTTGCTGTCAAGCAGATTCCACCTTATGGTGACCCCATGTGTGAAAAGTAGAACTGTGCTCCATAGGGTTTTCAGGAGCTGTGAACTTTTGGAAGCAGATTGGCAGGCCTTTCTTCCACAACTTGGGTGGGTTCAAACCACCAGTCTTTGGGTTACTGTTGTTGCTGGGTCCCATCCAGTCATTTTTGACTCATAGTGATCTGATGCAACAGAGAGTAGAATTGCCCTATAGGATTTTATTGGAGCTTTGGTGGCATAATGCCTAAGGCATTTGACTGCTAACCAGAAGACTGGAGGTTCAAACCCACCAGCCACTGCTCAGAAGGAAGATTGGGCAATCTACTTCTGTAGAGATACTGCCTCAGAAACCCAAGGAGGGGTCGCTGTGAGTTGGATCTGACTCCACAACAGTGGATTTGTTTTTTTTTTTAATCTTTACAAGGGCATATCGCCACATGTTTCTCCCTTGCAGACACTGGATGGGCTTGAACCACCAACCTTTCAGTTAGTAGTTGAGTGCTTAACCAATTCCTGACTTCAAAGAAGGGAAATTTTAAAAAAAAAAAAAAGCACCAAGAAGGGAAATTGTCCTCTGTGTTTTGCCTGCCCCAGATTTAAACCTTATATTTTAGTTTAGGCCTTCTGATAATCAGAAATATCATAAAAAATATTCTTTCTCGTATCTTTGGTTTTTTTTTTTTTCATTGCTTGCTTTGTTGTTGTTGTTGTTAAGTGCCTTCGAGTCGGCCCCGACTCATAGCGACCCCTCCTTGGGTTTCCGAGGCAGTATCACTACGGAAGTAGGATTGCCCAACCTTCCTTCCGAGGAGTGGCTGGTGGGTTTGAACCGCCAGCCGTCTGGTTAGCAGGCAAGTGTCTTAGCCACTATGCTATTGCTTGCTTTAGAAATACTTATTTCCTTTCCAGGCAACAAGTGATTGTTCTGTTCTGTGTGATTTTGAAAGGAGCCCTGGTGGTGCAGTGTGTAAGTACTTGGCTGCTAACCAAAAAGGTCAGTGGTTCAAACCCACCAGCCACTGTGTTGGAGAAAGATGTGGCTGTCTGCTTCCATAAAGACTAAAGCCTTCAAAACACTCTGGGCCAATGCAGTTCTGCTCTGTTCTGTAGAGTCGCTATGAGTCGGAATTGACTCTATGGCTCTGGGTTTGGTTTATGTGATTTTGAAAGCTTTAAGGACATAAAGACAAGTCAGCCAGCTACACAGCCTAATGTTCTATAGGGCAGGCAGCCAGGCTCAGGGAGTGGCTTGGGAAGTGACAGATGCTAATGAAGGGCATAACCAACAGCATTGTCATCATAAAGTCCTGTAATTGCAAGTGCTTAAGGTGTAATAATTACATTTTGTTGCACTGGTGAATACTTCTCCACAAAGACGGATGGATATGGTTTTGTTTACTGTAAGTAAATCAAACAAAAGGCTTGTTGGGAAACAACTGTGACCCAATTAATAGCTTTGTTCATGTGTTGGCTCTCCAAAGGGATTTACCCAGTTTTGGTTCATTAAGCACCATTAACGTGTTAGGCTTAGAATTCTATTTTATAAAGATGTTCTCTCATTTTAACTTTATTAAACATGGTATAGTCATCATGACAGCTAATTTTAATCTTCTTCATTTTCTCAGTTGCCACAAAACAGCAGAGCAAGACAGAAAATTAGAGCTCTTCTTTCTCCTAATACTCACACTATCTCTACATTAAAAACGGCTTCTTTGCTGTAATTTTTAGGATTTATGGCTTTCTTGTGACCTGCTTTCTTCTCAGCCAGTAGCACAGCTTTTTCCTCCAATCCCTGCATACCACAGTTCTTACAACACCCCTG